ATCTCACAGAGGATGGAGTCCTAAGACCCCAAGAAATCCCATCATTTGATGCTCCAAATTTTCTTCTCCATGTATAAAGAAAGGAACAGTGGATATCATTTGTAATCACTCAGTTTTTATTACTTCTCAGGACACCCATTCATTCACTCAATAGATGTAGTACTATGTAGTAGACACTGTTCTAGTTGCTGAAGATAAGGTATGAACAAAGAAGACAAAGTTCCCTCTTTTGATGCCTTTTCAGTTGTAATGTGTTGGTCTCATGGACAAAAGAGAAGGCAGTGGAAGGGGATAAAGAGTAAAATTTCAGGAAGTGATATTTCATAGAGGAGACAAGCAAGCCCTATCTGATAAGTGACGCTGAGCAGATCTTAAAGAAGACAGAATCATGTGTATATGGGAGGGGTTAGAAAATACCACTCTAGCAGCCTATGAAGAACAGAGTGCAGGGGACCAAGGTAGAAACAAGGAGATTAATTAGGTTGCTGTTGGAGTGGTACACATGACAGATGGTACTGTCAAAGGTGGTGAAGGTAATGTGAAGTTTTAGGTTTGGGGCATTTTCCAAGGCAGAGTGTATAACTTATCTCTGTGTTACTTTAACAAAATACTTGAAGTCATTAATTTATAAAGACAAAAAAAATTATTTAGCTTATGGTTTCTGAGGTTCTAGTCTAATGGTGGCAAACTGACAGCATGTGTGCTGCACAGCTGTTCGTTATCGCTGGAAGCCCTAAAAGGTTCACCACCACTGTTCCAGTCTAATGTTGGATGGCTCCTCGCTTTGGGCTTCTGGCGAAGACACCAGATGGCATGGCAGGAATCATGTGGCGGAGCAAAGTTCCAGGAAGAAAAGAGAGACAAGGAGACCAGGGTCCCACATCCCCTTTTGCAGAGGACCACAAATTCTAAATTGAGTCAAGAGGACATCCAAGGCCATCCCTGAGCCTGACTGATTGGAAGGAGAAAATTCCCTGCTTTCTTCTGGTCACAGCTGAAAGACCTAGGGCTAGTGATGCTTTGGGTTCCCAGGGCAAGATAAGACCTGCCAAGGACGACAAGGCACCTGGGGAAACTATAGTTTCCTTATCGAAAATGCTTTGTTCTCTTAGTAGCCCACCATAGTCCCCATTACTGTTCCTGAAACACTCACTGCCCTTCACCCATTGTCCTTGACACAGATGTAATCAGGAAATTCCAAGGTTCTGGCTGTCTCATGGTCTTTTGTTCCCTGAGAACAGCTGGTCATCCTAGATCCATGCTGCAGCGCTATTTTGTCTCTTACTCGTTCTTCTCACTGTGCACTGTAACACCTGGCAGGAGATTGGGGCTCAGTGGATGGGTCTCTGATACCCTTTGAGGGCATCCTCCAATGACTTAAAGATTCCTCATAAGGCCTTACCTAAGGGCCCATAGCACTTTCCAGGAGTGCCATGCTGAGGACCAAGGCTTTATGCATGGACCTTTGCGGGACACTATTCATTTTCAAAGCACAGCACAGAGCCAGAAGAATTTGCAAATGGGCTGATATGGGCATAAGGGAGTGGAGTCAACATTCATTACTATTTTCTCTCCTGAAAAACCGAGTGATTAGAGCTGCCATGTACTGGAAAGAAGAACACGGGTTGAAGAGATGGAGGGTAGGGAAGCAAGAGTTTCACTTGGCACATGTGAAGTTCTTCATGACTGCTCTACATCTAAATGGAGGGGGCTAGATATTCAGGATATTAATACAGGAAAGAGGCCATCAGAACTGGTAATGAAATGGAGTACAACAAAGCAAAAGAGTGAATAAAATGACCAAAGAAATTGGGATAAAGAAAGTATAAAGTCTAAAGACTGAGCCTAGGGATGTATCAATATCCGTAGGTAGGACAGGATTTGCAGCAGCAATCAAAAGAGAATGAGAAGTCTTAGAAAAAAGACAACCGAGGGAGAGTGGAATCCCATGAGCCAAACTTTCTCAAGAAAGAGGGAATTATAGTGTATGTCACATATGCAGTGGTGGGGAGACAAGCAGAGACCACCAGGCTTGAGTAAAGACAACATGATGTAGAATTTATTGTGCCTGGGTGCGGGCAGGCAGAGAGAGCAAGACTGTCTGCCCCAAACAATGAGAAATGTGTCCTTTTTACAGGGATAGAGGGAAGAAGACAGGGGACATTTGGTGGGAAGATCCCAATAAACATCTGTGGTCGGGGCTGGGGATTTAGCTCAGCGGCAAAGCGCCTGCCTGGCAAGCACAAGGTCATGAGTTCGGTTCCCGGTACCGGAGTAAAAACCAAAAAAAAAAAAAAATCTGTAGTCAAAGTTTTCTGGCAGTCTTGCACCTCAGTGGGCAGAGCCCTTGAAGTGTCTGGTGTAAATTCTCAGGTGTCCCCAGATATCCCCAGGTGCCCAAGGAGCTGCAAAAGTCCTTGTCTTATCATCTCCTCTATAACATCCTGTGCTTCCCTGCGACAGGCTCCTGGAGTGCTGAGCTGAATTCCCTGCCTAGAGTAGCGCTTCTGCTGGCAAGCCGGGTGGGGACTATGCGTGTCATTTCCACTGGAGCCTTACAGGAATGATTAGCTAATACATTACAAATCTGCTAATATATTTTTATTTTACAAAGATCCTTTTATTTCTACATTGGTTTCCTTTTTCAGTTTCACCTTGCATATTCTTTGATGTGGGAATCTCAGAATTTTTCACTGATCTCATCCCACCCTATCCAGGATCTTTTCACTTCATGATAGTTTCTATCTACATCTTCCTAGAAACTTTGGTCTGGTCATTTGTAGGAACAAGGAAGATTATGACATGAAGGATAAAAGCAAAATTGTTTGAGAGAGATTGAAATATCTGCTCCAAAGGCATCTGTAGGTCAATTTCTACAGAATTGCTCCTCCCTTCTCATTCTGTGTGAAAAAAAAAAAATCAGGAATAAAAATCACAACATTGTGAAACTACTGTTTCTATCATTGCTACATCTGTATTGGTATGGTGAATAATGGACAATATGTCATAATGTAAATATCACTGAATTTGAACTTAAAATATTTAGGTTTCTGTCCTGGCTCTAATAAAATGCTGTGTGATATTGAGAAAAACTAAGTCAAAATTAGTAAATAAGTAGTCAGGCACGGTGGCATACACTTGTAATCCCAGCACTGAGGAAGCTTGAGGCCAGAGGATCACAAGTTCAAGTCCCTCCTGGACAATTTAGCAAGACACTGTCTCAAAATAAAAAGGGCTGGGTGCAGAAGCCAGCCTGCAAACTGACCTAGGGTGTACGATGAGAAATAAAAGAGAAAGAGGACAGCCTTCCAACCCCTCCCCCATCTCTGGGAAAAGTCAACAAGGCTGAGGTCTCTGTGGCTGATCAGGTAGCCCAGTCACCCACAGCTAGGGATGCAGTTCATGTAGTTCAGTGGTAGAGCACCCCTGGATTTTAATCCCTAGGGCTAACACGTGTCAACCTATTAGCCAAGGTAGAAAAATATTTAGGTACAATTATGGTTGTTTGCTGTAATCTTGGGAGTGCCACAGAACTCAGGGAATCACATTTACTGGATTACCATAAAGAGTATTACAAAAGATTCAGATGAATAGTCAAATGAAGCAGTACATAAGGCAAGGTCCAGAAGGCCCCTGGGCACCAGAGCATCTGTCCACATGAAGTTGAAATGGGCCACCCTCTCACGTGTGAATGTGTTCCAGCCTCTCTGAACCTCATATTTTAGGAATTTTTATGAAGACTTCATAACGTAAGCATGATTAATAATTACTTCAACCTCTAGCCTTTCTCCCCTTTCTATAGGATGGGAGATGGGGGTACAAATTTCAAGATTTCAATCATGGATTGGTTTCTATGATCACAAGTTCCCATCCTGAAACTACCCAGGAACTCATTAAGAGTCATCACTTCAAAACAAAAGATGCTCTCATCACCTGGGAAATTATAAGAGTTTTAGGAGCTCTGTTCTGAAATCAGGCACAAAAACCCAACTTCTCATATCATGCAGTATACATATTTATAACAAATTAATCTGTTTATCATTAAATTTCTCTCTTTGTCCTAAAGTAATCTTTATCTGATATTTATGGAATCACTCCAGACTTATCTAGCGTCTGAATGGTATAATTTTATCCATCCATTTACTTCCAGCCCATCCATATCTTCAACCTTGTTTTTTCTTTTTAACCATTTTAACAATCTTTGCCTTTTAAGTGGAGTGTTTAGTCTATTTACACTTAGTATAGTCATTGATGTGGTTAGGTTTAGGGCTACTATTTTACCATGTTTTCTGTTTGCTTGTTCTCTTTTTGGCTTCATTGTTTTTCCTCTCTTCCTTTTGAGAAGTTATTATTATTAGATTTTTTTTTAGAATTCTATTTTGTGACTTTGTTGATCTTTTAACTAGTTATATTTGCATTATTTTCTTCTTATAAGCCATTTGAATACCATTTTTATGAAATATTTGAGTCTCTTGTCCACTGAGTTATCTGCTTAAGGTTTTCCTTCTTTTATTTGTAAGACTTCTTTATATATTATAAATTTAAGACCCTCATGAGATATATGTTGTGATTATCTTCTCCGACTCTATGATTTTTATTCTCATAATGGTTTATTTTGGTTTAAAGAAACTTTATTCTGTTATAACACACTCTAAGCCTTTAATTTTTCATCTCTAAAATAGAGTTTACACTGGTATTTCACTCAAAGGATTATTATGAAAGATGAATTAATGAATGCATACACCACTCCTGACACTTTGAAAATCTCAATAGATATTCTCTCCAGTGCCACCCCTTTTTATCCCCCACTTAACTACCTATTTTCTCTATTTCTGTGTCTCTGAGAAATCATGTTATGTAATAGAAAAACCAGACCATATGACCATGATCAATTTTTAGTTGGAATCTATGAGTGTGAGTCAGCAAAAATAAATTCCACTGTTCCTTCTGCTTCTTCTCACGTGCCAATTGCATGATCGTCTACTTAAACCCTTGATGAGGAAGCAACGTGAGACAAGTGGTTTCATTTTAGTATCTGACACCCAGAGAACGATATGGCTGCTCCCCCAATACGACACATACTAATCTCTGTCCTCTGCCAGCTGACAGGTGAGTCCAGTCAGACCCTTTCCCATTCTCCTGACTGTCTTCCTGGTCCTGAGATGCAGCTCTGGACCCCTGGGTCCACCTGGACCCTGGCTCAACTCAGAAGCTTCTGCTCCTCATCTAGAATTGCTTCTTTAAAAAAAACCTCTGGTCTTTGAAGAAACTCGAGAGATTAAGGGGAATAAAAGCTCTGGGGACCATCTTCACTTCTGACTGCCCCAGGAAGAAAGGGCTGAAAGGAGAGGTGCTGGGTATGAGAGGCTTATGTTCTGTTGTGAATTAGGTGAGGAATGTCAAAATGTCCCTGGAGCCTAGGCTTTATCTTCCAGCCTCCTTCCCTCTGAGGGTAACTTTAAAGAAAAATTATATGGGTGTGCATTTATTTATTTATAAATATATTTTATGTAAATGTATTCTATGTTTTGCTGAGTATGCATAACCATTCTATTGGTATAAGGAATCACTTGCATTTTCTCTCTAAATAGAATCAAAACCAATCAATCTTAGAACACAAATGCTTCCTGTGGGCATGGTACATTTAATCACACAGAGGGCTGAGTAAGTTTGTGCACCTGTCATAGTCTTTGCAAGTTTTACTGTCCTCAGTGTTGTCAGAAAGGACCAAGAGCTCCATAGGTGAGAAATGTCTCTCCTATCACAAACTCCTGGGCTTAGCCCAACTGTTCATTATGTGAACCCCACATCTGCCTAAAGTGACTTGCTAAAACTACACAGGCAGTCAGAACTCCCCATGCTTTCCTCCCATCACTTGGTCTCACTGAGCCATGTGCACCTGCACACTCACCACTCTCTGGACTCATCAGAAGTTTGCATTGTTAAGAAGCCCCTGGATCTGCCAGGCGTGGAGGTGTATGTTTGTAATTCCAGCATTCAGGAGGCTGAGACAGGAGGGTCACAGGTTTGAGCCTAAAGTGGGCAGTTTAGCAATTTAACATGACCTCATCTCAAAATTATGAAGGAGAAGTAGGAAAAGAAGAAAGAGGAGAGAAGGAGGAGGAAAGGGGAGGAGGAGAAAGAGAACAAAGAGCAGCACCTGGTCCTAAGCAGGTGCTCCTGAAATAGCTTTGTTTTAAAATCTCTGAACTGAAATAATGACCAGAAATGGAACTCAAAGAAGGTGAGATGGGGGAGGATATGCTAGAGCTATGAAAGATTCCAGGTGTCCATGTGAAATCTGAGCTTTGTACAAGAAGGTATGAGGCCAAGCTTTAGTACAGGGGCCTCTTCTGCCCTGCTTGAGGAGGCTGTGAGTGGTCATGTGGAACCCCACCATGACTGAAAAGAGTCAGAGATTGTCCTAGGGCCGTGGTGGCAAACCTATGCACACATGTTGTTTGTTTTTCTTTTAAGACAAAAGGTGTTAATATATGAGTTGTTTTTTTCTAAACTAAAACCTCAGTATTCAAGAATAATTGCAGTGTTGGCACTGTGTGACAAATGAATTTGGGACTGCATTTTGAGCACTCATCTGGAAAAGGTTCATCATCACTGTCCTAGGCAGGGTGGTACAAGGAGTGCTGACCTTGGACAAGGACATCCTGGGTTTGACTTAATAGCAGTGCTACTGTGTACAAGTTATGCATCCTCTGAATCTTGTTCTTCTCAAGTGCATAACCGGGAAGGGAATATAACTTGCAGAATTATTGTGATGTTTTTAAATGAGATATAAAATGCAAAGCAATTATAGAAATAATCACCATTTACGCTCCTACTCCATCCAAGGTATTTTTCATACTATCTCTTTCTAAGTCTACAAGATAAGTATTATTATCCCTATTTCACAGGTTAAGAAAGCTAGGCTCAGAGAGATCAGGTTTCATGGGTAAGACATGGCTGTTAAGAGGCATAGCAGACCCAGCACTTCGGGAGGCTGAGGCAGGAGGACGACAGGTTGGACTCCAGCCTGCTCAACTTAGTGACTTAATGAGACTTTGTCTCAAAAATAAAAAGGGGGCCAGATGAGATATACCTCAGTGCAAAGATCCTGGGTTTAATCTCCATTACCAAAAAAAAAAAAAAAAAAGAAAAAAAGAAAAAAAAGAAAAAAAGGTATAATAGAGATTGAGTTTCCAAAGCTAGTGTTCTCATCACACCAAACTTGACAGCAGAGAAATACTCAGTCAGTATGCATTTGAGCTGATTCTTCCACAGAGAGAGCCAGGTGAGATTTCCTCTTTCTCCGAGAACACAAGCCCAAGTTAGGCACTGGAATAACCAAAGAGAACAGGTAGCACTGTTTAGGGGATGTGGCTACACCAACAGGGAGTCACTCTGCCCAAGGTCAGAGGGGCCCAGAAGCAGCTTTCATAGCCTCACATGTCTCATCTGAAAAATAGGCACAATAGTCTGTTTCTGGCGTATTGTAGTGATGAATGATACTGTCATTTTGAAGGGATAATTTTTAAAAAGCAGAAAAAGGATAAAGGGATAGGCAGAGAATCAGAAAAAATAAGGATGAGGTAGTGGGAGAGGGGGTGTGGGTAGTGCGGTGCGGAGCTCAAAGGTCAGCATGGCAGGTAAGAGTTGGACCCATGGGAAAGGTATGTGGTGAATTGGGGGGATTCTGTATACATCCCACAGGGTATTGATTTACAATGTTCTTTCCAGGGGAGATTAGTAACAGAGAAATTAGCTAAAGAGCAGTAGATTTCAGACTTTTTTTTAAACCAACATTGCAAGTACATAAATGACCACATAGAGAACTGGTACCTCTCTGGTGGTGGGGAAGTTCCATAACCTCTTCCCATCACAATCTGTTCTGCTTTGCCTCCCTCAGGCCTCCTCCTACACTTCCCCCCCAAAATGGAAATACTCAGACTCCCAGGGTAGCTGGGGAACACTTCAGGAAGGCTTACCTGTGAGCCATAGTTCGCTGACTTGGGCCATGTCACCCTCTCTGATCGCTAGCCTTATCACCTGTGACATGACTTGGACTGAGTAGTCCCCAGCTTCCTCTCAGTCCTGAGACATTCTAGTTCTTGACTCCCACGGGAAAGAGCTACCATGTTTGTGCTTTCTTGGCCTTCTGATATGGGGACTGGGTGGGCGAGCAGGAGGTGGGCTTAAACTCCCTTCCTCTGAAGTCTTCCTCCTGAATCACCATCCCATGGTCCTGGCTGCACCGGTGATGTACCTTTTGGCTTCTGATCTCCACTAGCTCTTGAGCCTCTGGGGGACATGATGAGAAGAAAAAGTAACAACCAAGAAAAAAGGAGGAGATCGTAAGAGAGGGGAGCTCTTGTCTCATCTGCTAAGGAGACATCATTATGTGAGTCTTGGCCAGGTCAGAAGCCAGAAACTGTCCTGCTTCAGCTCCCTCCCCATCCAAAGGCAGGTTGGCCAAGGGATGTTCACTGTTGTCTTAAACTTGTGCCTCATTTGCCAACAAGTCATTCAAAACTATTTGGGGACATCTCCTTTTCTCACTTTTAGCTACCTTTGCAGAAATGAGACCAAAAAATGGGAAGGCTCACTTATTAGGGCAGCACTTCCTGCCCTCAACACCTGTCTCACCCCTGGTGTCAGAGTGCTCTGTAGTTCTCCAAATACTTTTTGTTCCCTTCAACATTACCTGATTGTTGGCAAATTAAGGCTAATGTTCAGAAAACTGAAATTCACTGCGGTACAGAGTGAAGAAACATAAGCTTCTGGAACAGAGGAACTACCTATCGCACTTCTACCACTTCTTTGTTCGTGGCTTTGGGAAAGTCACACAATCCCAATGTCCTCATTTGTAAAGTGGAGCTTAATCTCTGTCTCATGAAGCTGTTCTGAAGATCAAGAATGACTGTGCCTATGAAACTTGTTTACCATCTGCAAAGTGACACCAAGTGTTTACTCCTTGAGTATGATTATGGAAGAGCCAGAATGGAACCTGATCTCCTGATTTCAAGTTGATATCTTTCTTATCCTGCTCCATATTGGAGGGTGTGTGGAGCAGAGGCCATTTCCACCCCTCTCTGGCTAGGACCCCGTGACTCCGTCACCAAGTGACTTGGTACCTAATGCTGTAGACCAGTCATTAGCTAATTCATTATCAAAGGATATGCAGTTACCATCCAGGTGGATATTTCTTTCTGGAGACTTTAAAGTAAAATAAAGCAACCTAAGAAGTGATTAAAAAAATACAATGTGGTTAAATGTTCTTCAAAAATTTTTATAGTAAAAGATGTATTGCCATGAATCCCCCGCAAAATACTCCCTCTTGCTTTGAATATACTTACCTCATTGTTCTTGCCACTTTCTGAAGCAGTTCTGTAAGTTCTCTCTCGTGAATGTCTTTTAGTGTAACACAGTCATAGTATTATTGTATGTACCTAGCTCATGATCTCACGACATCGAGAACTGAAGTTGCAAACCAAAGGAGAGATTTTATTGGAAATAAGAACAAGAGCTTTTCTTGAGTTTTTCCTGGGTTTTCAGAAGGGGTCCTGAGTAGGTGGCCACTGAGGCTCTTTCTCAAGAATATTTTATATAGCAAAATCACAACTTGGATAGATGTGGGTCAACCTACAATCAGCCTATAGGATTGCAAGTGTAAGTTGCTTAGCTAATATTGCTCCAATAGGGGAGCGAGGCATGTAGCAAGGTTATATTGGTGAGTATCATTATCCTTAGCTTATCTATAACTTCTAACTTAGAACAAAGGCATTCCTGGCAAAGGATGAGAGTGTGGGTCAAAATGTTCTGGTCACCCACCTATATGTCTGAGGCATGAGCTAGGCTCACTGAACCAAGTGGTGCTGATTACAATGTAATCTCAAGCAGCTACTTATTTTTAGGGAGGCTTGTAGGCCTGGCTATTTTGACTCCATCTTGAGGCCTGGCTTTCTTCAAATTCACCTCCAGCAGCAATTCTGATTTGTCATATCTTCTGCACTAATTCCCTTGAGGGTCTAATCCCTCTCTGACTGCCTATAACTTTCTGTCTAACTTAGCTGTTTATAATAATAGCCTCCCTGATATCCTGAATTGATTCAAAA